TGGAAAAAATATGAGATAATTTTTATATTTGTTATATAGATTAAGGCATGCTTTAATGACGTGGGGCGACAAATTCACGCCAAAAGAGGTGAACGATGCGTTCGATCAGATGTACATCGACGATAAAGGTTTCATTGACACCCCGAGCTTAATCGCCATGTTGACCGGCACAGGCGAAGAAGAAGAAGAAGGATAAGATCAATTGAAATTATATTGTCAAGAAGAGAATGTTCCTCGATTATGAAGCCTCGTATTAACGTCAGAATTGCACAAAATTTGCCTTAAAAGAGAACAGATATTTTATATTCCATCCTTTCCCTCTATTATATCTTTCCTCCTCTTATTTCTCTTATTCTCTTTTTCTCTTTTCAAATTCTTTTATCTTTCATCAATGACAAAACTATGACGAGGATAAAGCTATATTAATCAATCTTGGACAAAACTGGACTGATTTTCATTCTTTTTAGATTTCTGTCTTTCTCTCTCTGTCTTTTTAAATTTCCTCTTTCCCTTTATCTTTTTACTACTTTTTCACTCTTCTCTGGTTTCTTTATTTCTTTCTATCTTTCTTTGATCTTGTCTCTTTTTCTCTACATCTTTTTCTTTCTTTAAAGTTTTCTCTATTTTTCTCATCTATCTTTCTTTATTATATCTTTCTCCTTTTTCATTTCTTCATTTATCATTTTTCTATTTTCTCTTTCTTACTTTCTCACTGTCTGTTTTCCTTTTTCCTCCTCAATTTTTCTTTATCTTTATTCATTTTCTTGCTCTAAAGAGCATTGCTGGTTCCAGAAGGAACAGTAAGTCCGATAAATGCAATAAATTCCAACACAATTTTCCTAGGTGTACACACCGCATGTCTGTCGATAAATAAAGCTTCTTCATGTCCTCTTCTCGTTTACATATAATAAAAGTTATTAATTCTTTACTTTAATAAAAATATGAAATTCTGTAAATGGAGCTCTGTAATCTTATGCTGTTACTCTGTCGGCAGAATTGGTTTAGCCTTTTAAGGGATAAACATTAAATATTAGATTTATGTTATCGCAGAAGATCTAGATATGCCGCAGTTGGAATCAATTAAAAAAAAAAAAAAAACATTGTCATCCACATAAATACTGCCTTCATTATTTTTATAAACGTATTTCAGATAATGTTCTGTAAACAAGATGATATCGGGAAAATACATTTTCATGTATTATTAATGTAACACAATACATAATAAAGAAATCATTAATGGCGAGAACATTATTTATAATAACTTAAAATATAAATATTTAATTCAATTAAATTCAACTAGAAACTTCACAAATAGAGAAAAGAAATACTTATCATTCTACGTAAATTAAGTTGTTCGTAATTTCTTGTTGCAGTACAAAAATAAAGTTGCATAAATATAACAAATGTTAATAAATACTTGAGATACTTGAGATGCAGGGCATTCGTCGACCATCGCTTTTTATGATTCGCCCAGAATTATTTGGAAATCCAATGCATTCTGTGATTCCTTGTTAATGTTGAACGCCCACAAACTACATTCCACCGTTATTAGTCTAAGTACTACAAAAAGCACGTTAATAAAATATTTTCTATCCATGTTAAAAAGATTATTGATCAAATTTATTGTAAACACAAATATTTGCGAAATTGTTCAAATGATTTATAAATATAAAACATATAATTAAAAAGAAGAGAGAAAAGAGCAAAAAGATTATTGATCAAATTTATTGTAAACATAAATATTTACGAAATTGTTCAAGTGATTTATAAATAAACATATAGTTAAAAAAAAGGGAGAAAAGAGCAGCTAAAATATTTAAGAAAATTAATTTTTATATTTTATACAGATAGAATTTTTAAAGTAATGAGCTTTCAATGATGAATTTTGTTTTTTAAAATTGTTTGAATATAATTTTATAAATTAATATATGTATATATGTTGTAATAATTTACATGTAATATTTTTAAAATGCAGTGCTACTATCGGTGCCAAATAATCTGGTTGTCCTATAAATGGAAAATATTCCACGGGAAAGCCAGGACTTGGTAAATACTGAACTTCTCCAATATGTTCTTTATCAACATTATTTACTCCGTCACACCATAACCAGACTTGTAACTATTTAATTGTTAAAAATAAATTATTGCTTGTGTGTATATAGATTTTAAAAATGGTAGTTATGTTGTTATTATTATAATATGTGGTTTAGTAAATAAAATTTGTAATAAATTTATTTGGAAATTTCAAAAATCTTATTTGTCGAAACACATATATATTGCATTTACTTGAATTTACTTTTAAAGTGTGATATAAAAATTATTGATACGGTTATTAAATTATATAAAATAAATTTGAACCTTGTTCGAAAATTGCACGGCTTCTTGCAAAGCATATGGCATGTTATTCGGTAAAATGGAGGATTTATTATAAGGAATTGGTACCCAATTAAATCTCTATAATTAAATATAAAAATTTTTTTAAATTTGAATAACAAACATATAAATTAAAGGTTAATCAAAAGGATAATTTCTTTATATACAACAAAATCGGAAAAACAAGATCATTTACTTTATTAAACTTAATGAGCACACATGGTTGCAGTGGATTTGTATATCCATATGGGGGCTGTCCGCAAACGCCAAGACTTTCAATATCGAAAAAATAAGGTTTTATATTCGATGCTCCACTACTGTATTCTATACTCTCCGTTTTATAATTCTCTTTACTTTTATTGTACTCTAAAATGAAAACATTGATTACCAAATCCCTTTATTTATTTTTTATCAAAACTTCGCAAAAAACTGTTTTATTTAATTTTTTGTTTTATAAAATAATAATCTGCTGAAAGATTTTATCACTTCTTGTAGATAAAAGATACATACTGTATGTACATACACACAAGTATGTATTGTACATACAGTTTCTCTCTTTTTCCTCATAATAATTATTATATTATTTTCCTCATTATAATTATTAATTGTTAAAACTTTGTAGTATTTGTTATTGATACCTTGCAAGAAATCACTCAAAGCTTCCACATATCTTTTCGAACGAGCATTCACGCTAGAATTGTCTACCCAAATAATAGGAGATGTCAGTGGTAACAAAACGTTAGGTTTGAAAGCAATTCCTATCCGGAGAAGAAGCGATCATATAATATCACAAATGTATTGTTAATAACATATTGTCAAAACAATAGTGATTCATTTTCGAATGAATTTCCTTAAAAAAATTTACCTGGACTATCAAGATCTAATTGACGGAAAAGTGAAAAGTTGACCCCAAAGTAAGACCTAGGTATTAAGCCATTATAAAGAAAGAACGGTCGTCCTAGTTTCGAGACATACTCAATACTGATCCACATTTGAAGTGCAAAAAGGGAACCCAAAACGACGAAGAAACACGAGTAGAACAGCCCCAGTAATACTGTTCACACAAATATAATTCGATATTATAATTAATTATTAATTATCAAAAAATATACTCTTTAACAATTACTCCATTCTTTCCAGCCTCTACCAAGGAACTCTTTTGTATCTGGATTCCAAAAAAACCGTATAAAATTTTGAAGTGCTCCGAAATCGGGTTCAGGTACTCTTCTTCGATAATATTCCTCATCGTGCAGAATAACCATTTTGCAGATTTCTTTTCATTTATGTGTGTCATGTCAGTTAATAAAAAGAAAAAAAAATATCAAACATGAAGCAAGCAACAAACAATTCATCATATCTCTATATTCACTATTCATTAAAATTATAATATGTGTGACATGAACTATATATTTTCACTAATGGCAGTAAATATTGAAACACACTCATAGAATCTATTGTGTAGGAATATCATCTTTATGATCTTGAGACGCTTGTAAACTTTGAGGTGCTAAGTATAAAAAATATTGATTAAGTTAAATATTATTATCATTATGAATATCTATACAACATTATTTAATTCTTGTATTTGGTTTGTACATTTGTTTTCTGTATGCAATCTAAATATAAATATATAAAATATCACGTTACAAATTATATGATAAAAAAAATTACAAATTATATAATAAAACAATAATAAATTGAAACAAAATAATCAAAGTAACGCCTCAAAAAGGTGCACAAATAAAAATTCAATTTTTGAAAAAGTTTCTTTTAAAGTCTACTATATATATTTTATTAAAGTTTACAGGAATTACTTAATCATAATTTTATTCTCATTGTTAATATATTTATTCATTGTTATATATTTTATATTATATACATAATATTATTTATGTGGCTTTAGTAAACTTAACGGTAAGAGATGTCTTATGCTTTATGAAAAAATTTTAGATATACAATTATACCAAGAATGACCAATTCTAGTAATATGATCAAGATTAACACAATTTTGTTTGTCAAAACCTTCAGTCGCATAACATTCAGAATTTTTCTCGTTTTATTCAGTTCCTCGTCCGTCTGCGACAGTCTCCGTTTCGCACGGAGAAGACGATCTCTCTGTTCACCCAATTCGGAGATCACTTCTGTACCAATCTGCTCACTCTCTGCTGCGACAGCCTGCGATCTTGCGACTGACTGTGCTGAACGTTCCAACGCCGCATTGCCATCCAACAAAACACGCCGATGCTCGGCTTCCCAATCCACGCCAAAATTCATCCTTATATTATTTAATCGATATATAACGATGAATGAGGAATAAGCACGTTCAAACGTTATTCCTAAATTTTACATATTCTCTCCTTGTTACATCCAAAATATCAAGACTACTACAACAAACAGAACAAATAAATAAGAACAATAAACATTTTCGTATATTTATAAATAAAAGAAAATTACCTGTTCTAGGAAAAGACAGCTCTTTCACTTTGAATTAAATTATCCACGTTTTTCGTCATATATTAATAATAAAAATTGCTCGATCAGGAACTGTTTATCTTCCACACACTACATAACCATTCTTGATGAAAATGACAGCCAGGATTGCCACATCATTCTAAAGATTATTTCTCAAAAATTCCTAGCAGCTAGAAGCAAATCTCCAGCTTTTTTCCTAATAACTTGCGAAGATTCATATGCACATGATATTCGTCTAAAAACAATGAAACATCCAATATTACGATCACTTTTATATAATTTATATATATATTTTTTTTATATAATTTTTTATATAATTCATATAGTTCATATATTCTAATTTAATTAACTGATTAATTGTAAGCCGCTGAGTAACAGAATTTATTAAAATTACCGCAATCTATTTAGTCGATAAGCGATAAGTAAAAACTAATTCTTAAGGCCGTTATGTTCCGTTAAAATATTTTCGTCGTACTTCTGCTGGCATTTTGTCGACAAAATTTCTGATAAACTCTTTTCAAGAATGTTTAGATGTAGATTCGGGTTATCACGGGATATTGGAACGTGGTGATATCGTTTTCCTAGCGGCAAGGCAATAAGGACTACAAGTAGCGCCAGTAGCGTTATTCGACGCACGGCAAAAATTCGATGCCGGTGGTGACCGGTAAAATGCGATACAGTTATCCGTGTCGCGGTAATTCCGTACCTTTCGATAAATGCACGACGACGGCCCGCTTTTAACGGAGTCTACCTGTTCGCGAGCACGATGACGCGCGTCACGTTCCTGCATCCCGATCTCGGTATCGGCGGCGCGGAGAGGCTCGTCGTCGACGCGGCCCTGGCGCTGAAGAAAAACGGCCACGACGTGAATTTCGTGACTACTCACCATGACCCGGAGCACTGTTTCTCGGAGACCAAGGATGGCACGATTCCCGTTACCGTCGTGGGTAATTGGCTGCCCAGGCATATTCTGGGCAGATTTTACGCGCTCTGCGCCTACATACGCATGGTAAGCGGACTAAGCGGATTGTTATATTGGAATAAGGCAGTAGTAACGGAAAAGTCTGAAAAAAGTAAAATCTTAGATAAAAAAAAAAAAAAAAAAATTAAGTAGCTATTATATGGAAATAAATTTTGTATGATGTTTATTTTTATTGTAGATATATGCAGCCAGCTACATAATATTTTGCGATCATCGACCGGAAGTTGTCTTCTGCGATTTGGTATCCGTCTGTATACCCGTTCTTAGACTGCGCATTCCATATGTAGTGTTTTACTGTCATCATCCAGATCAGTTGCTCTCACAGCGTGGTGGTTACGGCAAACAGTTATATCGTATGCCATTAGATTATTTAGAGGAAATCACGACTGGCATGGCACATAAAGTATTTGTAAATAGCATTTACACAGGCAACGTGTTTAAGGATACATTCAAGAGACTGCAAATAGAACCTGAAGTTTTATATCCTTCTATTAACACTGATTTTTTTGACAAAACGAGAATAGTATCTATTGAAAGGGTATTAGATAGGAAACTTCCAGATGATAGTATTATATTGTTATCTATCAATAGATATGAACGCAAGAAAAATCTGTCCCTTGCAATAGAAGCTCTTGCAGAGCTAGAAAAACTTTTGACAAAAGATATATACAAGAGAGTATATTTGATTATGGCTGGTGGATACGACAAGAGAGTCGAGGAGAATGTGGAATATCATTTGGAATTAATAGGACTCGCGGATGAATTACATGTAACAGATAAAGTGATGTTCTTGCGTTCGCCTTCTGACATAGATAAAGTTTCTATACTTCATCACTGTAAAATTGTAATATATACTCCACCAAATGAGCACTTTGGAATAGTACCCTTGGAGGCAATGTACGTAGGTAAACCAGTAATCGCTCATAAATCCGGCGGTCCTATGGAATCGATAGTTTCCGAAGAGACTGGTTTCCTGGTCGACTTATCTGGCGAAGCGTTTGCCTCGAAAATAGCTTTTCTGATTACAAACCCGAGTCGAATCGAGGAATTTGGTAGATCAGGTAAAGACAGGTTTTTGACAACATTCAGTTTTGCTGCTTTTAGTGCTCAATTGAATAAGGCGATAAACGACTTGACTGATAAAAAAATAGACTAATGAATTTTAATGATTATGTTGTGTTTTCTCATTTCTTTACATTATATCAATTATATTTATATAATTAAAATACAAACGGTGCTATGTGAAATATGTGAAAGTGTATCACTTCTTTCAATAATATATTTATAATATTTTATATTAAATATTCAATATTTAAGAGGTTTTCTACTGAACTTTGTAGTATAAACTATTTAATATATTTAATTGTCAATTATCAATTGTATCTCATATAGAAATAAAATTATTGTGGTTTATATATTAGTTAATATTTAAAAATATATATATACATATATATACACATAAACACACACACACATACATATAGAGATGTGTGTGTGTGTGTGTGTGTGTGTGTGTGTGTGTATGCACACTACTTGTAATATCGCTACTTTGATTTTATCAAATATTTATAATTCAATTTATAATCATGTTATCCTTGTTATTTTATAATTTTATAATTTTTTTATCCTTTTCTGATATTTTTTCCTGTATTTTTCTTCAGATTTTCCATTCTATGAAAAATCACATAAACCATGATGTTTTACACCTAACATTGTTTACTATATTACATAAATTATTTACTTTAATAATACAGATTTTAAAAATAAATTTTATATGTATGGAGATAAAATTGTTGAAATGTAAATCATTATGAGTACGAGTCTCGAATATATAAATAAATAAAATAAAGAAATAAATTTTATACATAACTAGAAAAAAATTGATCTTTAATGAATTAATATTGTATAATGAAAATATAAAATGTTTTTATGCAATGTGACGGAATAAGGATTACAGAATCTGAAGTTTTTATAAATAAAATTAATCCATCAATTGCAAATTATCAAGTTTCTCACTAGAATAAAATCCCGCTTTAACTTGTCTACCGCCAAAGAAACGTCCATTTAAATCTACTACAGCTTTGATAGCACTTTCTATCCTCTTAAATTCGACAAAAATTCGTACTGCTTCTTCCGGTGCAGCTTCAATCACTTCATGAATAATAACACGTGCAACATCGCCATATTTGGTATTGCATTCGTCTTTTACTTCTGGTTCAAGATCGTCATCTACTTCTCCAGGGCCGACCATATTGCGCAAGAGAACAACCTAGAATTGTATATATTACAAATATCTTGAATTATATATGACAAACAATACTACAGATATTATATAAAACAATGTTATATATAAATATTATGTTATATAAATTGACAATAAATATGTATATAAATAAAATTTAAATATAATAAATTTATAATTTTAAGTTTTGATACAAATTGATGTTATAAAAGTAAGATTTTTAACCTTGCTTGGACATTTCATTATCTCGGTAATGCTAGGTTCTTCTTGGAGTGGCTGCTGCACTTGGGGTAGCTGTTGTATCTGTGGTGGAGAAGCTGTAATAGGTGGTGGTGGAGGCATCAATTGTTCCCTTTCACCGACTATTCTACCACCACGTTTACTGGTTTTCTCCACTTGTAATGCTACTGACATGCCCTGTTCCTTCTTACCAAGACCCTGTCCTTCTTTAAAACCATATTTAGCCATTATTTTTGCTGCTACCGATGATGTCGAATATCCCAGATTAGATGGTTGTCGTGGCGGTGGAGGTGGCAATTCTGTAGATTCTTGTAAGGATGGTGGTGGTGCTATGGCGGCACCTCCTATTATACCTCTTGAAGTTGGTGTTCTTTCTTCATCTCTTTCAGGAGGTATCATTGTACTATTCCCACCAGCAGTCTGTTTACATATATAAAATATTATGCTTTTATTTTAATAAATGATGATATTTCAGTTTGTTCTAAATGCTATTTCATGCTATGGGAATTTTGTTAAAAGATAAATACTTTATAATATATTTAATACCAATATTAAAAATGTTCTTTTTCTTTTTTTTTCTTTTTATAAATATATCATATATTACTTGAGTATCTTCAAAGCGAGTGCTATCCCTTCTACGTTTGCGCATTTCCGTCTCCTGATCATGCTCTCTATCTCTGATGTCACGTAACTCTTTCACAACTTTCTCGTATTCATTGGGCCATATAGGATCATATTCGTTCACCACATTCCAATCAAATTCACCACCTACTCCTATGTTGCTCATGCGACCACTAGATAATGGATTATTATGAACACTGTCATCTTCTCTATCAATATCACGATTAGCTTTGGATTTCAAATCTATCACCGGTGCCAATACTGCGGTAGCTTTTCTGTATTGTTCACGTTTCGGCTGCAAATGTATAAGAAACAATTAGTAATTTATTTTTTAATAATCTTAAACTAGAGGTTTAAAAACAGAGGTTACATCGATAAATGTTTTTTATTAATAAATAATTGTTGATGAAAAACTGTTTAAACTATATTGTTGTTTATGATAGATTTACCTGTGTTGTAGCAGCCTTTTTCAATTGCAGCTGCGACTGTAGTAATTTAATACCGGAAGACCAGCCCGCGACCTTCTCTGTGGTCCGGTGCTTGTCAAAATCATCATACAAAGACATGATGACTTTTATTTTAACGTTTCATTTGTTTGACATCTCAGACATAATCTAACCTTCAAAGAACTTCAAGAGATTCGGAGTCTCTTTTGGAGTGAACTAGCAAAGAGTAGGGGAAGCTTCGCTACAGAAAAGGATGCTAGGGAGCTAACTATCTCTGTTAGATTCGTTGATCGATGAATGAAAAATGCAATGATGTTAGGCTGATTGCACACAGGACGCGGCAACGCGACAACACGATAGCCAATAACCGTCTTGTTCTCTGATATATAACTTCATTAGAAATTGAACATTTTTAATACAATAATTTACGTAGATCGTTTCTTTTTTGTTATATTATCTTTTATATTATATGGTTCTATTATAGTTTTTTTTAAAGATAAAGTAAAATAAGATTTCAAAATTTTAACGCCATATTTCCAAATGTTTTCAGCTCAGATAATAGAAGTATAGAAGAAGACAGAGACTCACTTTCATTACCCATCCCTTTCTTTCGGTCATCTTCCTTGGGAGCATTAGTGGGATAGATATTATTGTTTTGATTTGTGCATTATATTTAACTGTAGACTTTAATTACCTTTAAAAGTTGAAAATTCAATTGGGACTTGCTGAGATTTGCTGGGACTTATGCAAAAAGAAGAAGAATTAGTTTTAAAAGATTGAAAGCGCGCTCTGCTTTACATTGTACAGGTTATGTAGCTGAGTTATGTTTTTTATACTTAAACTGTACAGAGATATGATTATGTTTAAAAAATAGGAAAAGTATAAAAATTTCTATTTAACAGATAAATCTTAAATTTTAGTGATTGGGACGTAATCATTGCAGATATACTTTGGGAATTTATTTTTAACTGGTACAGTGGAAGATGGTTGGGTATTGTCATGTTTGTAGATTAGGAGCTGGAGAAAGACATGATATATCTATTCATCGGTAAGTGTTTTAAATATATTATACATCGGTAAGTGTTTTAAATATATTATACATAATATATAATAGATAATGAATAAAAAATGTCATGAAAATATTTTGAGAAAATTGAATTAATTTTGAAAATAGAGATTTTCTATATTTTTTAGATGGAATAAATAAAAATATATATACATAAATAAAATTAATTTAATATCTGATTATCTTCTACTTAAATGTATATTCAATTTAAGACTATTATAGGCTTATGGTATTAATATATGTAAAATGTAATAACAGTCTTTCCCTATATCAAATAGATATATCAAATGTTTTGTCTTTGGTTTTTTACTCTGATTCATTAATTTTTTTTATGGAAATTTATAAAATAGTTATATATATATATTTTTTTTAAGGCTGCCAAAGGATGAAAACATCAGAGAAAATTGGTATGCATTTATTGGCTATAAAGCAAGTACACATATTGGAGTTTGTAGCAGACATTTCAAGCAGTCTGATTTTATTTACAAAATATATGGAGATGCTGTTAGAAGATACCTTAAACCAGGAGCTTATCCATCTGTACACTGTTCACGAAATATTAAAACTAAGTAATTTTTATAGAACATAACTTTTAAAAAAATAGTTTTTATATCTATTTTATATGTAATATATTATATTGACATTTATATTAATTTAGAGAAAAAGTTAAAGTCAATATTATGGATGAAACTACTGATGTTTGTTCATCGGAAGTTGAAAATAACATTTATCTAGATGAAAGTCTGATAAAAGAAGAAATACATGAAACAATAAGTGTAGATGGAACTATAACAGATACAGAGGATTCCAAAAATGATCAATTGAAGAGGTTGGTATAGTTAATCTTCTAATGAGATAAATTTAACGAGATAAATGTTTGAGATAATATTAAATGCAAACATAAAATAATTTAATAATACTCTCATTTTATTTTTAGAAAAAGTGAAGATTCTTTAACTCCTAGAAAACGCTTTCACAATCTGAGATCCATTGAAGATTTGTCTAGAAAAGATTTTACTTCAGATGAGGCTTGGTTTACTTTTGAAAATTATTTACTACACATGAAAATAAATACAAAATCAAAGAAAAAAAATTTAGATTTATTTAAACAAATTATGTAACAGTTTGCAGAAAATGATAAATCTTATGAAAACTCAAACTTGTGATGCAACGAATGTTACAGTAGAAATCTAAATTAAAATTTCAAAGATTATCGAGACTACCATGTATTTTGATTTTAATATTTTAAAATATGAAATATTTTTTAAACATTTATCTGTAACATTTCATGTGTATATCTGTTTGCATGAAGTATGTATGTATGTATGTATATATGTATCTATTTATCTATCTGTCTGTCTATATTTGCATAACTGGGAAATTGTATTTTTTTAATTTCTATGATAAATATCATGCCTCTTATGTTATCGTATTTTTATTACCGTCAACAATTAATAATAAATTACATATTCTATATATTATTTTTAGATTAAATATTATTTAATGATAATTTAATGATAATTTTGTAATATAATTTGTGTTCATATAAAATATCGATACATAAAATTTTCTTTATTTTTAAATATTAATTTTTTTTATATCTTTTTTCTTAGATTCATTAGTTTTGTACAAGATAATTCAAAATCTTAATTTAAAATTCAAAATTTTTCTATTAATTACTTAAAAATTCAAAATTAAATTTGTAACATTGGCTATTTCAGTGGAGAAAGCAGCTGATAGGCGCTTTGTGCTGATTGGATTATATGTTTTGATCTAAATTGAGATAGGACTATTCTTCTAGATCTAAAAATATAACCCAATCAGCGCAAAGCATTTATTAAATTGTTTTCTCAGCCAAACGCAGCCATTGTTAAGTTGTTTGCTGAGCCATTAATTGGCTTATTTTTTAACCAATCATATTGTCTGGTAAACAAGTTCAACTTTCTTTGCTTTATATTTATCGAGATTGGACAAAATAGTCAGAGATATGGAGTCTCTAGTGTCGCATGACGTCTCCTCAAATCGTCATTCAATGTTTTACACAATTGGTATAGCAATATTTGCATAAAATGTGAATCATTTTGAATTGTAGCTTTATATTTGGATAAACACGAATTGCATGAGATTTGAGCTGTTTTAATAATTGAAACAACAGGTGCGTCTTCGAAATTTTTGAATTTCTAATTAATATATCAAAATTAATTTTTTGCAAAATGATTACTACAAATTTTGTTAATAGAAATAAGGATATGATGAAAACAGGATATGATGATAGAAATGATAATAGATTGATCACAGAAATTCAGTGAATAGAATCAGCTAATAAATCAATGACTATAAATGTAAACGATGTTAAATAGTTACGAAATAACCGATTACTTAATTTCTATTACAAAATTATATCCGCCTGTTTCAAAAGAATACAAATTTAACATAAAAACAGTTTATGCTATAAGCAATATTCAGATCGAATCAGATCAAATCTGCCGGCATGTTGGAATATTGTTAATACTTGGTGAAGTTTTACTTGAAACTCTCATGCTCTTTAATTTAAATATAATAAAATTATACTGATGTAATTTTATTTTGCATAAAAATTTTGTAAAACACATTTGAAAAGTAAAAATTATTGCTTGATATTGTGACGAAAAATAAACAAGCGGAATGTTCTTGAAGGTTAGATCTGTTATACCGACGGATTGAGTTGATATGAGCATACGTTTCTCTCTCTCTCTCTCTCTCTCTCTCTAGAAATTTAAAATTTATTTAATCACAACATAATTGATGAAATTTTGTTATTATGTATAAAAAAAAATTGAAAACCCATACATATTTCATATATACAATGATAATCCTTTAAAGTTTTTTTTTACTCAAATCTTTTTTATGCAAAAGCACATCTATATTTTTAACAAAATGCAAAGTGAACAGGTTAAAGCAAATATTTACCTCCTTTTATATTAAAAAAATTAAACGATGTACTAATAAAGATAAATATGGAAAGTTAAAGACTTTGAATTTACTTACAGTAAGATATAGAAATTATTTATGTGTCGAACGAGATAAATTTCATAAAAATTTAATATGAAGCAGTTAGGTATTTATTCTCTTTTGAAAGAATAGATTTTGGACTATCTTGCATTTATTTTTACTAAAATTTTAGATAAATAAAAATTCTTAAACTGTCCATTTCATGCATCTCGTATCAAGATGAGTGCCTAGGCACTTCACACAGCAATATCTAGCGCCACAAGGTATACATGTATAATTACTGGGAAAACCACACACTGCACAAAAATGTCTTTCGGGAAACCGGGACGGTGATGCCTGAGCACTGGCATAGTTTGGTGGATTGGGATTCATATTGAGATCTTCTTCAACAAGTTGAGCAAAAGTTTTGCGGAAACGTTGCTTGTAATATTCTGCAGAGCGAGTCTTCTTTTTTCTGCCACTTCTGTTGTCTAACGTTTCTTGAAATTTCGGTACCTTTTTGCTCATTACTAAAACAAAAATGCTATATTATTCAGAATGTTTCCGAATATTTCAGAATAAAAAATATTCTGAATGTTTCAGAATGAAAAATAATAATAAGAAAAAACGAATTTTTACAGTACAAACCTAAATCGGCATGTGGATCATCATGAAAATTGTCTTGCTCCAATGCTTCCAATGCCTTCTTTTGTCTGCGTTTACGTGCAGCATCATCAAGGATTCTTTTTTGACATGCATCCTTTATTCTACCTGATTCTCGAGCCATTTTTTTTTAAGCTTAGTATATCTCAAAAATGTCTCGTTGTGTCTTCCCTTTTACATTCCTTTCTCTGCCAGTGGAAATGATATCTGGTCCATTAAATCATCTACTTTTGCTTGCAAAGTTTCCAATATGTCAGAGGATATGAATAAATGTCTTTCATCCAAGTCTTGAATTATGAATTTTCTCCCAAGTGCGGATGTTTCATCCAGATGTAGAAGAAATTGTTTCATAGCCGCATCACTAGACATAAAATTTTGTTTAAGATTTTATGATTTTTATTACAACAGACAATACACAGATACCATGTCTAAGAAGAGAGGAGTTTCTCTTGATGAGAAACGTACGAGAATGATGCAAATATTTTACGAGAAGAAAGAATTTTTCACATTGAAGGAACTTGAAAATATCGGGCCAAGGGAAAAAGGTATCACAGTGCAAACTGTCAAGGATGTGTTACAAGCTTTAGTGGACGACGGTTTAGTGCGATCTGAAAAAATTGGTACTTCTACATACTTCTGGAAATTTCCTGGGTAACAAAGAAAATTGTAAAAATTATAAAAATTTTATAAGAGAAATTTTTCCATATTTAAACAAGAAAAGTAAAATAAATAATATTCTGCAGAGAAAATATTACAGCAACGGAGCGCAGAATAGCTGATACAAGTAAAAAGCTAGTAGAGGCAGAATTCAAACTTGAGAAGTTGAAAGAAGAGGTACAAAAAGAAAAGGTAAATATTAAAATTTAATTTATTAAATCTGAATTCTATTTTTTTTTTCTATCTAAAGTATCTATCGACAGAAATTGAAGAATGATACAGAAGAGAAGAGGAAGTTCTTAAAGGAGATAGAGCAACTGAAGAAAGAAGAACAGGAGATTAAGAACCACATTGCTAAATTCTGCAACGCTGATCCAGAAATGATTGCAGAAATGAATAAGAAGGCACAGGTACGACTAAACTTTAAAATTAATTTGAATAAATTGTAACGTAACTAGATAAAGATATAAAATAGACCAGCAACTTCCTCACTTTGATGGAATTTAATATATGTGATTAAATATGACTTCCTAACCTTAAAACGATCTCTTAACCTTTGTATCATTGTTTTTGTATTTTATTTATCAAAGTAAATAGCATATAATATTCAATTTGAACAAATTTGATGAGAAAGCTGTTGTTTTGTTATCTTGTTATTTTTTTTTATTATATTTTGTTATGTGTAATGTTTCATTTAGAAATACAAAAATGGGGCCAATACATGGACAGACAATATTTTCGCTATACAAAGTTGGTGTAAGAATAAATTCGGCGTCTCGGAGCAAGATCTTAATAAACAGTTTAATATTCCCGAGGATTTGGACTATAAAGAATAAATTTAAAGAATAAATTTAAAGAATAAATTTAAAGAATAAACTCGTTCAACTTGTTGATTGTCAATAAAAATTATTTTTTTTATAAATGGGCGAACGTACCATTCAACCAAAATCCCCTTTGTCACATTTACCATAACTTGCAATTGTCTTTTCCGTAGACGATATCGGGTCTTTCGACGTTTTCTTTCAAGTATCGTCAACAAAATTTGTTATCGATGTTAATGACAGCAAGAAATGAAAAAGAAACTTTTAATAGAGAGGACATCTAATGTCAAATAGCGCACGCGATTCTTAACGCCATCTGTGCAATTTTCTTAACTTTAATCTAAACTTGAAAGTTGTATGTATATTTTTCTTTTTTTTTTTTAACAAGATTTTTACAAAATGACCGTTACTAGCCACAATTTATTCAATCTTATATTTAAGATTTTTTAAAAATTTGATCTTAAGATTTCATCTAACTAATAAATGTGAACTGCATCTTGCGATTATATTTAAATAATTTATAAAAAATTCATAGAATATTTTTAACAATCAATATCAAAATAATCAAGACATAATTTTTTTTCAGTAATTTGCATTAAAAAAAAAAATTTTTCTTTTAAGAACAACAGCAACAGGTAAAAAATTTCCGTATATAATTATATATAGAATATATATATCTACATATTTATATACATTTACATATAAAATAATAACAATTACATAATATGATTATATATAATTACATAATAATACATAATAATACATATTTATTTAATCATAAATCATGTATAAACATATATATATAATTATATATGTTTATACATGCTTTATTGATTAAATAAAT